TGGGAGATTGGGATGGCTTTTTTAACAGGCAAATAGGGAGACAGTTTCTCCCTCATACCCGCTGAGCTGAACTTGTTTAGTGGTGGTCTCCCTTTGGAGATCCTGTCCGCTAGCAATTGGGCTAACATCCCTGGGTTCCCCACTGTAGCCCTCACAGTGGGTCTCCTCCATATGTCGCACTGACGTCTTGCGATCAGCTGGGGAGGCCCGTGGGGAGCCGGGCACTCCTACTGATTGTCAGACTCCCAGAGCCTCCACTCAGAAGAGGGGGCAGAGATCTGGTTTTGACAGGGAGTGGGCATGGGGGATGCACTCCGTACCAGGGAAGTGGGTTGTGGGGAAGCTCCCTGCATTAACTCCGTTTTCCACATGACCTGAGACAAAGCATTAATCAGGATGCTAAGGGGCTGGCAATCATATTTTCCCATATCCTCCCCTAAGCTCACCAGCTCCTTTCAAATCATGTTCCTAAGGGTCTCCTTGGGTCAGCACTGCCCAGGGTTGTGGGAGGTAGGGGAATTAGGATTGGGAGGGTGCCTGGCAGAGTAAGGACTATTCTTTGTAAATGTGATAGCCTGCACGGGCAAATCTCCTGCCTGTTTGATTTTTGCCACTAGTTCACTCCAGGTTAGGTGTTCTAAATCCACAGTCCCCCTGGTCAATTTTGTCTAAGAATTTAGTCCTGCATAAATGCTGTGTACTAATTCAGGTCCCTGATACCGGAAAGTGATAATCCCATTCTCTTCGGTCTGGGGTAATGAATCATAGAGAGCTGCCAGCATTTTCTTTCGAATTAGGTAAGCTTCTGGGGCCTCTCCTGGTTTCTGCTCTTCCATTATATACAGTTTCTTAAGGGAAGATGCAGGCAGTAATATTTTAAGAGAACATATCATCCATTCCCGGCGTCCAGTGGCAGTCCACTCCCAAGAACATATGCCTATGTCAGAGCATCCGCATCACAAGGAGAAGCGCATAACTGAGCCAATTGGGTTAAGTCCATGCCATCAGCAGAGGGATACATTTGCCAAACACGGGCCAGCTATGCAACGGCTGTATCCCGGTTCAGTGAACCCAGTCTCTCAGCAATAGCCTTGGCTTGACTAGGAGACCACCTTACTACGTCCATGACCAGCTCTGTTGTGGGAAGATTGGCTCCTGCAACTATGTGTTTAACCTCCCTTGTGGAAACAGGGGCAACATTATGCATGTGTTAAATGGGGTTAAATGGGTTTTGGGTGACAGCATCAGGGGGCATCTTTATTTTCCCAGGTGGATCGAAATCACAATCCTCTCTTAGCAGCTGTAAGGTTACCACCCCCTTATGGGCGCTAAGTTGGGCACACAATTTACTAATCTCTGCCTCACATTCCTGATGGTCTGCTGCTGCCTTTGCTGCCCTGTTCTCTTCTGCCAAGAAAGGAGTTGCTCCTCTTGTTTCTTCTAACAGAACTTTTATGTGTGTTAACTCTTTCCTATACTGTGCCATCATGTGCCAGCAATGCCCCTCTGCCATGTACATTGGCCAAACCGGACAGTCCCTCCGCAAAAGAATAAATGGACACAAATCAGACATCAGGAATGGTAACATACAAAAGCCAGTAAGTGAACACTTCAATCTCCCAGATTTAAAAGTCACTATTATTGAACAAAAAAACTTCAGAAACAGACTTCAAAGAGAAACAGCAGAACTAAAATTCAGTTGCAAATTTAACACCATTAATCTGGGCTTGAATAGGGACTGGGAGTGGCTGGCTCATTACAGAAGCAGCTTTTCCTCTCCGGGAATTGATACCTCCTCATCTACTATTGGGAGTGGACTACATCCACCCTGATTGAATTGGCCCTGTCAACACTGGTTCTCCACTTGCAAAGTAACTCCCTTCTCTCCATGTGTCAGTATATAATGCCTGCATCTGTAACTTTCACTCTATGCATCTGAAGAAGTGAGTTTTTTACCCACGAAAGCTTATGCCCAAATAAATCCGTTAGTCTTTAAGGTGCCACCAGACTCCTTGTTGTCTTTCCTACACTGTTCTGCATTCCTGCTTGCCTTGTCTCTCTCCTCTTCTATATCTCTGAGTAGTCACCATTCTGAGCTTTTCTGCTATCAATTCACACCCGTCTGTCTCACATTTATTCAAATGTTGTAATTGCTTTTTCTCAAGCTCTAGTTCCTGCCCTCTCTTTACCATTTCAACCTTGTCCAGACATGCATAAAATAATGCCCATGCAGCAGCTGCATCCTTTGCTCTACCACGTGGCTTAAAGGTTGTGCAATATTGTCCAAAGCTCAGACTAGCTTCAGTCAGGGGATTCTCACTCTTAAAACATCCCCTTTCCCAGGGGCATTTCCCCTTCTTCATTACCCATCTCTCTAACCGGTTAGTTTTCTCCTGTCTCAAGCACGCAGCAAAAAGGTCTTTTACCATCTCTGTTTCCTTATTTCACTAATGTTCCCCACCGACAGCGCTTTCTAAAACCTTTATTTTTAAGGCACTACTCTTAACTCCTTATTTCACAGTTCTACAGGTATTCTAAGCACGATTCTTAACAGAAGGTTACCAAATAGTCTATGAGAGAGAGACCTTGCTAAAGGAGCTTGGTCTGAAAAAGGAAAAAAAATAAAGTTTACTCAGGTCCGTGCCTCAGTTTCCCCACTCCACAGCAACTACTCAACAATTACCACGTGATTAGGGTCACGTGCCCACATTTCTCCACCAATTTGTTACCAGATTTGCCTGTTACTTTGGGGTATGCTTATTTATTCGAGTTACTCTTCTGGGGGGGAAGAGGCAGGTTTCTGTAATTCTATCAATGTACGGCTTGTGTCACTTGTGTTTTCATATGGAGCTCTACTTCTCCCTTCTGCAAGTCCCTTCCCAATGGAGCTATCCTGCAGGACCTAGGTTCCCTAGGGCTGGGTTCCTCCAGCTCCAGAACTGGATGAACACACACACACACACACACACACAGCGCAAGTCTGAGCGGATTGGGTCAATCAGCACTTTCAAGCTGCCACCCTTATTGTCCTAGATTCAGCATGTCCCTATCCCCACTCTCACATCAAAATTGTACTGGTAGTAACCTACTTGATGAGCAAACCCCACAGTATTTTGGGCACTACAGGGATCTTTAGCTTAGGCAAAAGAAGCGTTGCTGCAGAGTAAATGGGGGAAGCTAAAAAACACAAAAGAGTAAAAGTTCAACAAGAGAGAGAGAAGCAACCAGCTTAACCATAAAAGTTATTTATTGAATAATAGTAATAACTACACAAGGAGAGTTAACCCAACATAA